GGCGGCGGCCGCGGGAGCCGGCGGTGCCCGGCCCGGGCGGGCCAGAGTCCGTGGCGGGCGGGGGGCGCAGCGTCCGCTGCCCTTCTCAGCTCCCGCGGAGGGCGCGCCGGGGTCCCGCCCGGGCAGGCGCTCTCCGCGAATCCTGGCGGATCGCAGCCCGTGCCTCAGTCCATCCGTCGAGGCGGCCGCGGCCGGGTCTTGCGGCGCTTCAGACTCCCAGGAAGGCGGCGAGGGGCTGCGCCCGGCGCGTCCGTGGGCGCCGCCCGGAGCTGGGGGAGCGCGCTGGGCTGCGGCGCTCGGGCAGGGAACGCCGCCGGCGGCCGTAGCCCTGGGGGCTGATCTTGTTTGGGGGGGCGGCATCGTTCCTGTCGTTGACGGCCGCCCTGTGGAGCTCGTCGACCAGCCAATGCACCGTGCACGTCCCGAAGCGGCACGCCTTTGTTTGGAAGTGGGGGAATCTGTTAATGCTTTGGCGGTAGCGCTTGACGCGGATGTGAGCATCCTCCCGGTTGCTGCAGGAAGAGAGAGAGCGGGCATGAGAAGAGAGCAGGGGGGGCTCGGAGGAGGGGGCCCGGTGGGCGAGGGAACGGGAGGGTCTGCAGGGTAGGGAGCCCCCAGGCTGGAGACGGGCTCGTCCCGACGTGCCCGGCTGCCCCCCGGCAGTCCCGGCTGTGCCCTCCGCGGAGCAGAGCCTGCTGCCCATGCGAGGAGAGGCCCCGCCGATTTACGGCTGTTACTTTTTCCTATGCTTCCAGGGCTCAAGTTACTATTTATATCTGACTTTCGCAGCAAAGGCGCTACTATCTCCCGCCAGCTGAAGAGCGCGGGGAAAGGAAGGCGGGAGGCTGCTTTCAGCGCGATGGGCAGCCCGGGCAGGACCTGCCTCTGGGGCGGGGAGGATCGACAGCGAGAATAACCCTGAACACCCGGAAACCAGGGGACCCCGAAAGTTTCCACTGCCTCGAGCAAGTGCCCGAGCCCAGGAAGGGCTGGAATTTACCTGGGAGGAGAGACTCGGGAATCCTCCTTCACGTCCTGGGTGCGTATGAGAGGCAGCACGTCGGCGGCTGCCCCCAGCCCTCGGAGCAAGCCCGCAGGCTTCACATCCCGCTTGGCTCGGCTTAGTGCCCATTTCGTCCATCTGAAAGAGCACAAGGGAAGAGGAGAGCCTGTTATCGCAAGTCTGCAGGGCGGGAGCCAAACCAAATAGATTCGAGGGGCGAAAATCTTTGCCAGCGCCGAGATTTTTTTCCCTTTTTTTTTTTTCTTTTCCTCCCCCCCAGTGTTTCCTAAAAGGGCTCGAGGCCTTTAAGGAGCTGCAATTCCTGCAGGGAATGCAGTGCCTCTGGCCGCTGCCGGAGCCAGGCGCGGGGGCTCGGCGGCTCCAGGCGCGGCGCGGGGCGCTGGCGGGAGGGCGCGCTCCGATACTCACTTTCTTTTGAACTCTGTCGCTACGTCCACCCTTGCAGCATCCACCCCGAAGAAGGCCACAGAGCCGAGATAGAGCAGGGCTACGTGAACTAGTTTCATTCTGGCTGGGCTCCTGCTGGAAGGAAAAGAGAAGAACTGTAAGCGTGCTTGCTAATAAAAGTCAAGTAAGGACTGTCCTTTATTCCTGGTGATTCCAGAGAGCTCCTTCCCTCGCAGAGCCCCCAGGCTACCGGGGACTTTGTGTCTGATATGAACCAGAAGCTAATATTTGCTCAACAACTTATCACAGAGTAAATAACAGAGCCTCCAAAGTTTACGTTTGTCGAGAGTTTAGTTGCAGAGGCGGCTGAATACCAGCAGGATTTCCAGAATACCCCCAGCGGCTCGCACTAGGATTTAGCAAACCCATAAGATCAGAGAGAGCTGGCTATCGGACGCATCGTTTCCAAACTCCAGCAAGTGTTTTGCTGCCGGGAAGTTTATTCCCTGATAGCTCCTCTTCCCACTTCACACGCAGAACCAGCTAGTTCTGGATCTTATGTTGTAAACTGCAGCTGATGCCAAGAGCCAGTGCAAGACTCCACAGCATAACTCCAAACTCTTCAAGACAGTCCAAATTTAGTAGAGTTTTACTTGCGTTCCACCTCCCCTGAATCTTTTGTTGTTGCCAAGGACGGGAAAAAAAAAATAGCTCTTACCTGACAGTGAGGATAATCCACTGAGACAAATGTTTTTGTAGTAGCGATCCGAGCTTGCAGGGTTTCCTGAGGAGCGAGAACTCCTCCTTTGTGTGTGTGTGTGAAGTAATCACTGCCGAGCTCTGCGCTCCTCTGTTCGCTTTTATAGAGCAGTGCTGAGAAGTGGGTGGACCTTGGCGTGGCTGGGCGATCTCTCTTTTGGCACCCCCCCACCCCCACATTTCAAGCACTCCTTAAGCATTCTGACCTGGATTGGGGGCAACACTGGGGGGGGGGGGGGGGGGGGGGGGGGGGGGGGGTGGAAATTAAGAGGATTATTGAAATTTATCTTAAACAACCCCCTTGGTATTTTGTTAATTATAACGGCAGCTTTTGGGATTCTGAGTCATGGCACAACTTGCAAAATCCGATGAGCCCCTCAGCCTGTTTTACTGGGGACAGAGGTTTTAACTGCCGAAATATAACTATATTTATGTTGTCTGTAGAATAATTTCTCATTCTAGACATCTTAGCTTCAGGTGGGTGAAAGCAGGGGAGTGGAAACCAGATTCAATCCATTCCAAAATCCATGAAAATACCTCAAATATCAAAGTTCCAAAAATAAACCCATATTTGGACAACGTGAATTTATAATGAGTAACTGGAATGACAGCCTTCTTTACCTAAGTAATGAGGTGGCAAATTTGGCATCATTAATATACACAACTTAACCTGGGTGCATTATTTTGTCTAACAAAATGAATTTGATTTACTTGATCGATTCAAGTAGATCACGATTCAAATGGTTTTGGGAAGTGAAGGTCAGAGCCCAGTTCTCTGCCTCGGAACAGAGCAAGTGGCATTGCTTTGGGACAAACACGGGGTCACTGGAACGCCTGGGGTTACGGGCGCCGGGGAGATCCGCCGTGCCTTGTGCTATTCCCAATCCGCAAACCTCGCGGATGTGAGTGCACTTACTTCCCGGTCAGAAAGCTGAACCAGAGCAGGATCGGGATCTCTAACAGCATTTTCTCGGCTGGCCAGCGGCAAAACCTTAGTCTGACCACCTTGTTGTTCGGTTTTTTACAGTCTTTAAGGTCTTTGCTCCGTGACGCTTCAGAAACGCAGAGGTCCGGCTTCGCAGGGGGTGCTGGAAGCCAGCAGCGGATGCACCGTGTCTCCGCTTACTTGTCGCAGTGCAAATTCGGCGGCACCGAGGGAAATGCCCCGGGAGATCTGCGCCCTGGGGCGCCAGGGTCCCCTGGCCGGCGAGAGACACTCGGCAGGAAGGAATGAGCTGGTGAGAAGTTTCTCTCGCATCTTGCCCCAAGCAAAGTGTTTCAAAAGTCAGGTGAGTGAGTGTGTGCTCGTGACTCTGTCTTTCTAGATAACCGCGGTGTATAACAACACCCCGGAGAGGTATGTGCAGGGGGATGACGGAAACTTTCCTGTGCACGGCTCACTCGGTCTAAGGTGCTCTCTCCCTCTCTCCCTCCCTTCCTCCCTCCTCCCGCTCTCCAGCAGCGTCCAGACAGCTGGAGCCTTCTGTCTCCGGCATCTACCTGTGCGGGACAGGCTGGCCCGGCCGGCGGGGAGAGCCAGCGCTGCCTGTCGCTGCTCCCCATGGCATCAGCCGGCCGCCCCTCTGCCCGAGCCCCCTGCGCGGCTCCGCGGGGCGAGGCGTTCCCCCGGCGCGGAGCCGCTGCCGCCGCACCTGCCCGGCCGAGCGGCGGCGGCCCCGGAGCGCCGGCAGCCGGCGGGGCTGCCCCGGGCTCAGCCGCGTCCCTGCCGCTCCGCCGAGCCGCGGCCCCGCGGCTCCGGGCACAAGCGGGCAGAGCGAGAGGCTTGCGGGGAAACACAGGGAGGAAGAGATGGGAAAATAAGTGGTCTAGAACGGGACCGTATCACGACCGGAGCTGCACGGCTGCATCAGCCCGCGATGGCTGATTTTAGAGACCTCATCAGGCAGCTCCAGCTCGTGCGAGTTCAAGTATTTCCTTGATTAGCAGAAGTTGAAACTGAATCTAACTTTTTCCGAAGGAGAAGACAAGATTTTATGTGATAAGCATTGCTTTGACTCAAATTAAGTCTCCCATTCCAGTTAAAAAAAAAAAAAAAATCACACATTTCCTCAAATGCTGGAAAATCCCTCATTAAAATCTTTGGCTTAAACGGGAAGTGTGTTTTGTATACTCTAAGCCAAACAATGCAGAAAAAATCCTATGTTGCTTTAGGAAATAGTAATAACAGTAGCAACACAACTCTCACATTTCTTCTATACTGCATACTGACTGTAACTATCATCTCAGTGATACAAAATTACTTCATACAAATTCATGAGGTGGCAAACTCTGACACATAAATGATCAGTTTGTTGCTGCTGTGATTTGTGAAAGGGCGTTAGCAGGTGAAGCTGGTTCAAATCTGCCACAAAACATCATGTTCTTTGTTCAGATGCTCATTTTGTTCTTTCTATGAACTTGCATTCTCAGGCAGTTTGGGAATGAGCAATAGTCACTCAATTGGTACTGTGATGTAACAATGACCAATTTTAAAAAAAAAATTATGCCACAAATAGTTATTTCCTTTAAAAAAAAAACAAAACAAAAAACCCCCCAAAAAACTCCACAGAATGTTCCATAGCAATATCACTCACAAGCTGTGAGAGTCTGAGGCAATGCCAAGCAGTTCAGCAAGACCAGTGTGTGATGTGAAGTGCAGGGTGTCCTGGATGCTGCCTCATCCGTGGTGGCAAGCTGGCCTGGAGGAGCAGCCAGCTCCTGTTTACTGCTTATCCTGGGTGTACCACTCAGCCTCTTGGTGCTCCCATACCGAAGACCCTACAACAAGTATCTGCTCTGGCAGGGACACGGTGAAGATGAGTTGCTGTTTATAGAGCATTTTATTCAGGCTGAGATTTATATGAAAAGAAAAGGTCTAAAATCTGTGGGGTAGCAATGGGGAATCAGTGAGGCACGTATTCTGTGCTAATTATGGAAGGAAACTGTTGTTTGAAGCCAGTGGAAGTGCCTTTGCATGTTTCACTTTGTTTAAACAAATTGTTCTGAATTCATATGCCATGAGTATGAATAGAGTTGATTGTATTTCAGGCTGCGTGAAATCAGCAGAAAGATAATACTAATAGAAGAATGGCACCCCCTGAAGGATCTAAAACCTCAGTCAAGCTCCACACAGAAAAACCTCAATGTCAGTGCCTGCACTCAGCCAGTTCTCTCCGTGCCAAGAGCACAGTGACAAAGGGCTGATTCCATTTCGGTAGTTCTGCTGGAGGTGCTTTGGTGAGCCTTTCGTCTGACAGGTTTGAGTACATCAAAGAAAGCCTCCAAAGTGAGTGGGGGATGTCTGTTGGTAGGGGAAATCTGGTCAGGCTCATGGCTGCCCCCTGTTCTGGCAGGGGTTGGGGTGACACGCGATAGAGACTGCAGGCAGAGTGTGAATTCTCTGTTTCCTGAAGGAGGAGTGAACTGTAGAAGGTATTGTGGACGTTCACACCTTGTTGTTGGCAAGTGCACAATGTGAGTGTGGCAACATTGTCCCTTGAGTGCTTTCAGGCTCTTGGAGAGGCTGCAGCCTTGCAATTCTTCCCCTGGAGCAAGTACATGACTAGGTGCTTGTGGAGACCCGTGCCTTGGTGTCCTCTGTGAGCCCCTGCTTCTCCTGTGAGGAGCTGGGCTACCCTGCTGCAGGTGAGGGAATGAAGGATGGGTGCTCTGGATGAGCATTCAGTTTCACTTTTCATGACAACTTAGGTGAACAAACACTGTGTCTGCTCCACTTCTTCATTTGTCCTGTAAGAACGTAAGACTGCTCTGTACTTAGGGAAGTTGCCCAGAGAAGTTGTGGATGCCACATCCCTGGAAGTGTTTGTGGTGTGGTTGGATGGATCTGAGCAACCTGGTCTAGTGGCATGATCCTTGCAGGAGGGTTGGAACAACATGATATCCCTCCTGACCCAAACCACTCTGTGATTCTGTGAAATAAATAAGCTCAACTGAACTTCCTATTTCTTCTTTAAGATCTGCCACTTCTTATAAACTTTATAAACTTTGGCTGTACTGATCTAGATGGCAAAAGGAGCCAGGCTGTAAAGTGAGCACTAGCATTATTGGGAAATGACTAAATAAACACCTTTCTCTGGAACCAGCATTTTTAAGTGCTCTGGGAAAGGTGTGAGTGATTCTCTCCTGCTAGAGGAGCTGTGTTAGAAGAGCAGGGAGATTTTATTATTGAGAATTGTTATTGCATATTGACTCTTTTTATGAGTGCAGATATGATAACTCTAAGGTCCCATTCCAGATCCAAATTAGATAATTTCTTAGTGTCTTTAAACTTTCCCTTCAGGTTTAGCTGTACAGAACAGGATCCTTTGCTTTTGTGAACTGTTGTTATGTCCTGCAACCAAAATGCCTGTGTACAACTTAACAAAGATTCCTACCTAACTCTTAAAGTGACTGACCCCACAGAGTGCATCTCTTTCTCAAAAAGTACAGTCAATCTTTTTGATGTATGTATTACACATTCTTCTTTACTCCTAAACAATGAAATGTATTAGGATTGGATCCTTACACATGTCATTTGCTCCAAAACAGCTAAATCACGAAGCTGATGACTCCGAGATGTCAACCTCTGCCCTCCACTGAGAAGGCACAAGCGGAACGCTGCTTGAAGCTTCCTGACCAATCTGCATCTGGTTTATCAGCAAGACACTGCATCACTATGTCCCAGCTAAGAGGTGTAAGAATGGCATGTTTGAAGCAGAAATGTCTCTGAGACCACTAATGACTGTCTGCTGGGTCCCTCGTCAGGGTGGATCGTCAGGAGCGAATCCAGCATTTCCACACCCAGCTCAGTACCCACGACTGCTCCTCCCTGGGATGCAACCCATGTTCTCCACGCTGCTTCTTCTCTCTGCGCTGTCAAACGGGACGTACATAGAAGCTTATCCGAGTGGTTTTTGCAGGCTCTCCAGCCACCCAAGCGCACTACTGTCCGCTCGTTTATCCTCAGCATCTCCGTGACTGCTGGCAAAGTCCACCGTGCTTTCGAGGGCCACTGTCCGAAAGGTGCCTGCCTCATCTGCACGTTATAAACAGCACCACGGCAGCGCCCCGGCGGCCACCGCCCGTGCCCGGCCCAGCACGGCCGAGGCCGCGCGGGTCACGCCGAGGCACCGCTGGCCGGTGCCCCGGGGAGCAGCAGGGCCGTGCCGTGCCGGGCCGGGCCGTGCCGTGCAGCACAGCCCGCTCCGCGCCGCGGGCGCTGCTGTGAGGGGGCCGGGCCGAGACCCCCGCGCCGACCCTCGGCACCGCCACAGAGCGCAGCGGGGCCGCGGCACGGCTCCCCCCGCGGCGGCGCGTCCCGCACACCCCGGACAGAACGCGGCCGGGACACATGGCTGGAAGCGCGATCCCCGATTCCCTCGCCGCCGGCTTCCATTTCCGCGGAGCCCCGGTGAGGGCGATGCCCGGCCCCGGCGGCTCCTCGCGGGAGCGGCGAGGTGCAGCCCCGCTCAAACACTTGGCTCCCCCCGGGCACGCAGAGCGCTCCGTCCCGCCGCGAGTGACTTTTGGGAGGGGAACGAGCTCCGGACCCGCTGCCCCCCGGGCGGCCACCGCACAGCGGGAGGCTGCCGGGAGACAAAGCCCCGCTCGGGCGGGGCGCGGACCTCCCCCGCCGGGCCCTCCCCGCCCGCGGGGGGCTGCGGAGGGAGGCCGCGGCGCTGGCAGCGGCGTGCCGGCCCCGCCCAGCCCCGGGGTCACGGCGAGCGGTCCGGGCGGCGCGCAGGCGCACGGCGTGCCCGCGCCTCCAACATGGCTGAGGTGGTGCCGTTCCTCCTGCGGCGGGCGCGGAGCGGAGGATGCTGAGCCTGCCCCGAGCCGCCGCCGCAGCCGCTGGGGTGCCGAGGCCGAGGCGCGCCCCGCGCAGCCATGGCCAGGCTGGCCGACTACTTCATCGTGGTGGGCTATGACCACGAGAAGACAGGTAGGTGTGGCTGCGCGCAGCGCTGCCCCGCCGTGCCTGCTCCTGCCCGGCCCCGGCCCCCGCCCGCCTCCGGCCGGGCCGCGGGAGGAGGAGACTGCGGCGCGCACGGGGCGCGCGTCCGGCCGGGGGAGGAGGGGGTGAGGGCAGCGGGGCGAGCCAAGGGTTAATCCCCCTTTCCCGAGGGGGGAAGCGCAGGGGCTCCTGCACCGCCCGGCCGGGGCAGCCCCGGCCCGCCCCGCCCGCCGGCTGCGGCTGCGGCTCCTTCCCCAAAGCGCGGCCGGTTCAAACGGGGCCCGCGGCCGTGCCGGGCCCCGCGGGTCCCCACCTGTGTCCCGCCGGCTGGGGCGCGACAGCCGCGCCTCCCGGGAGAACAAAGGCTGCGCTGGGCCAGCAGCGGGGCTTGCCCGCCTCGCCCGCAGCCATCCCCGCTGAGCGGTGCCGCATCCCCGGGGCAGCGCCCTGGCTCCCGGTGGGGAAGGAACGGGTGCTCTTCCTAAAGCCTCGGGATGCGTGCTGCCCGCTGGGGGAAAGGGAAGTAGTGGTGTCTGCTGTCGTTTTGTGGGCAAAGAGAGAGTGGTTTGTGTTACGTAACTCTCCGTTACGGTACCAGCTTTGTTGCTGCAGAGATCCCAAATCAGTGTTTGAATTGACTGGAAAACGAAGTGATTGTCAGCTGGAATGTGTTTGTGCTGCGTATTTCAGAGCGCTCCTTTGAATGTATGTTGTTAATAAACAATATTTTAAACAGTCGAATGTTCTCTAATTTATTTGACTGTGCATAAACCAAACAACACTCAAGTTTGTTACTCAGAGTAATTCTTTGAAGTAGCAGTTGCGTGTAGTCTGTACTGTTAATTCAAAAAGTGCAGCTAATAAACTCGGACCATGGGGTTTTTAAAAAGAAACATAATTTTTAGAGAAATCATTATATTTGTGTGTTTAAAGATGCAGTGTCTTACAAAGTTCTGCTAAGGGTGTCTTGGATTTTACTATTCTGCAATTATTATTCTCTTAATTACATCCTGGTTTCCCCTCCCACTCCATTTGATAATAGGTTTGTCCTAATTGTACTGTCAAAATCAAGCCATGTGAAATGGGA